ATTACCACATTGTCAAAAGAGCAGCAGATCTGCAATGTAAATTGTGAAACATATGTTGATTCCGTTTTTCCTGTAACAGTAAACTCAGCATTCTTTTAAGCTCAGAAACAAAAATCGTGACATCTAGCACTACCTGTACACGGGATGGGTGCTGGGGCCAGTGCTGCCTGCAGTGTGGGCATCCCATATAGGTACCAGTTCATATCCTGGATGCTTCATTTCTGATCCAGCTCTCTGCTAGGGCCTGGGAAAGCAGTAGAAAGATGGCCCAAGTCCTTGGGCCCCTGTACCCGTGTGGGAGACCAGGAAGCTGCTCCTGGATCCTGGCTTTGGATTGGCACAGCTCCGGCCATTGAAGCCATCTGGGGAGTGAACCAGCAGATGGAAGAGCTCTCTCTGTCTGTCTCTGTCTGCTCTGCCTCTGCCTCTTGTACTCTGCCTCTCAAATATAGATACATCTTAAAAAAAATAAGGGGGGATGGGTGCCTTTTTCCATTTCACTCTCATAAAGGTCCTACAATTAATCGGTTTATCATCCCATTTTATATACCCAGGCAGGTAACATTCAGTTTCCCAGGGTCACACACCTAGTGTAGTAGCCACTAGGGACACTTGGTGAACATTTCCTATTTCCTGTTCATCTAAGTGGGATGGCCAGCAGTCTCCTTTTGTGGTCATAGCTTAAAACAACTAATTACCCAGGCTGAAACTGTGGTGCACAGAGTTAAGTTGCAACCTGTGGTGCCAGCATCCCATGTGGGAGCCGGTTTGTATACCAGCTGCTCCACTTCTGATCCAGCTCCCTGTTAATGCACCAGGGAAGGCAGCAGCAGATGACCCAAGTCCCTGGACCCCTGCGCCCACATGGGAGACTAGAAGAAGCTCCAGGCTCTTGGCTTCGGATTGGCCCAGCTCTGGCCGTTGTAGCCACTGGAGGAGTGAACCAGTGGATGAAAGGTGTCTCTCAGTCTCTTCCTTCTCTTAAAAACATTACCCCACTTCTTGCTTGTTGAGCATCTGTCAGAGACAGAAGATTCATTCTTCAGCACACCTGGAAAACTCCTTCTGTAATCTTGCTTGGCATCATGTGTATTGAAACAGATGTTTTAGTCTGCTCAGGAGACAGGAGGGTGTGTTTTGAATTTTGTGGTTATTTTGTTTTGTTTTACTTACGATGCAGGGAGGCACCATGGTGAATCTAGAGGAAGGAAAGAGGGTGTGTGTGTGTGTGTGTGTGTGTGTCGAGAAAAAGATGAGCAAGTGCATGAGCAGGACCAAGTCAGAACTAGAGATGTGTAGAGCAGCACGCAAGAAAAGAACTGCACTACATATGAGGGCTCTTGGAAAATGAATCTAATGAGAAAACTATGCATGGAAATAATAAAAGGTTCTGTAGCAAAACAAAAGAAACATCTAGGTATACTTGCAACAAAATATGCAAAATCTCTATGAGGATCACCACAAAGCTCCTAAAAAAGTCTCAAGGAAGAATTAAACATTTGGAGACACATTCTATGGTCATGGATTGGAAGACTCATTCTAGCCCAGATAGCTGTATTTCTTCACTTGATAGACCAACGCAGTCTTAATCAAAATCCTATCAACAGGGCCAGTGCTGTGGCGTAGCGGGTGCTAGCATTCCATATAGGCGCTGCTTCAAGTCCTGGCTGCTCCTCTTCCAATCTAGCTCTCTACTATGGCCTGGGAAAGCAGTAGAAGATGGCCCAAGTGCTTGGGCCCCTACCATCTGTATGGGAGAATCAGATGAAGGTTGGGGCTCCTGGCTTCAGATCAGCACAGTTCCAGCTGTTGTGGCCAATTGGGGAGTGAACCAGCAGATGGAAGACCTCTTTCTCTCTCTCTCTCTCTCTCTCTCTGCCTCTCCTTCTCTGTGTAACTCTTTGAAATAAATCTTTAAAAAAAATCCTATCAACATGTTTTACAATTACCAAACTGATTTTAAAATGTATGTGGGGATGAAGATACCCCGAAGATCCCACCTCCCATAATTGAAGATGAACATATTGGAGGATTGACGTGTCACAGCTTCACTAACTTAAGAGACAGCCAGTCATGGCAATGTGGGACTGGTGAGAGTCAGAATGGTAACCCGGAAAAGACCTTCACGAATACAGTTATCAGATCTTTGACAAGAAAGCAAAGTGATACAAAGGAGAAAATCTTAAGAAAGAGCACCAGGTTTGTGAAATCTCCATTCCAGGAGAGGGCAAAGGACTGTCACCAAAGGCAGGTGGCTTTCAATGGAGACGGATGTCTGCAGGTCACCCTGCACATGGCTGACCAGGGGAGGATGGTTCGAGGCCATAGGCAGCAGGAAAGTCTCTAGGTGTGCGTTCCCATTAGTAACACTGTTTAGGGCATGCGCCTGGACAGGTGGATGCCTGCACATCTCTGAGTACACTGCGGTCCACCCAGGAAGCCAGGGCAGAGCAGGGAGCACAGGACAGGCTTGACCTGGACAGGGGCCTTCCCATCCACTTTGCCCGCCCTGTAGCAACCTTGCCTGCAAGCTCATCATCAGGCTCACATCTTCCCCCAGATAAGGAGCAGAAGAAGTAGGTGAAGACTCCAAAATATGGCCTTATGGTTCCCAGGAACAAGAGGACCAGCCTCGAGCACTGGAGAACAGGAGCAGGCTCAGGACTGGCCCATGGCTGTGGCTCCCCAGCCTGGAGAGATGAGTCATCAGCACAGTAGCCACTTGTCACCCTCTATCTCGTCAGCTTCTGGCCTCAGTGTGATTCTGCAAAAAGCACCCTGTGGGGACCAGCGATTCTGAGCCCTTGGGGTCCTGCCAGTGACACAGCCATGGCTCATTCAAGAACGGAGTACAGAGTGGTCAACTCCAAACCAGACTCAACAGCTAGAGAATCCTAGGCCTTCCAGACCCAGGGGAAAATGGCTATGGCCTAACCTGCCCCATTGGGATGACCCAGGTGGCTTCTGATGAACAGGGCCTAGTCGCCTTTTGGAGGTCGTGTGGGTTGAGGAAGAGGCTACAAGTGTCAGGGACCCTTGGAGAACTGGGATGCTCTCTCTGCCCAAGGTAGGGTTCCAGACTCCTTCCCTGTGGATCCTCCAGGCCAGGAGCCTCTGAGCCAGGAGTCTCTTCTCCCAACGTCAGGGGACACATTCTCCATGCTAATGACCCCTAGTGACAGCATGACCTGGAGAAGCTGAACCCACTGTGACAGCAGCCCAGGAGGCCTGAGCTGCTAGAGGGCATGTGGGCATCTGGCCAGCCAGGTGTGCCACCAGGACCACCTGGACATTCTGGGGCTGCCTCCACCCACTGGCATCCTGGTCTGTGGTCAGAAGTGCCCTGGGGTCCTCTTGCAGGCTCAGGCCATGAGATGCTGGATTGTGAGATGGGGCAGGGAGGAAAGAAGAGTGGGAACCTGGTGCCCACACACCCAGGACAGTGCACAGAGGTGATCATGGGCCTGGTCCCTTGGCTGGGCCCACACTCCTGAACTGTCCCAAAGACCACATGCACCCAGCCACTGCTGCTCCTCCAGTTTTCCCCTGGTCCACGCTGGGCACAGGTCAATCTCAGGAAGTGATGGAGCACCCCGAGCCGGGTCTCTGACTGCATCTGGAGGCTGTGGCACCTCCAGCCTCTTGCAAGGGACTCAGGGACCCTGTGTGGCAGCTCGGCTCCAGGGGTCACAAAATCAAAGGCATTCTGAAACCATTTAATACACAATCAACAAGGGGCAGAAGTTCCCGAGGGTTCCTTCACAAAGGCGGGAGGGGTATGTGGCAGCCCACAGGTGCCTGGGTTCATGTCCTATCTCATCTCCTGCTCTGAGGGTGCCCATAGCAACTGTGGCAGTGGACTGGCTCCTTGGCCGAGATGAGCCAGCGTGAGGCCACTCAGGGAGGGGGAGAGGAGCTCCAGAGAGGAGCCTTGTCAATTGGGGAGGCCACCAGGCATAGAGAAGCTAGATGCTGGCCAAGTTGAGCTAGGGTGAGGAAGCTCAGGGGGGGAGAGGAGCTGCAGAGAGGAGCCTTGTCAGGCGGGAGGTGCTGGGCATAGAGAAGCTAGGCTTCTGGCCGAGTTGAGCTAGGGTGAGGAAGCTCAGGGAGGGGAGAGGAGCTGCAGAGAGGAGCCTTGTCAGGCGGGAGGTGCTGGGCATAGAGAAGCTAGGCTTCTGGCCGAGTTGAGCTAGGGTGAGGAAGCTCAGGGAGGGAGAGAGGAGCTCCAGAGAGGAGCCTTGTCAATCAGGGAGGCGCCGGGCATAGAGAAGCTAGATGCTGGCCGCGTTGAGCTAGGATAAGGCGTCATGGTGAGGGAGAGGAGCTCCAGAGAGGAGCCTTGTCAATCAGGGAGGATGCCGGGCGTAGAGAAGCTAGATGCTGGCCGAGTTGGGCTAGGGTGAGGAAGCTCAGGTGGGGGAGAGGAGCTCCAGAGAGGAGCCTTGTCAATCTGGGAGGATGCCGGGCGTAGAGAAGCTAGATGCTGGCCGAGTTGGGCTAGGGTGAGGAAGCTCAGGTGGGGGAGAGGAGCTCCAGAGAGGAGCCTTGTCAATCAGGGAGGATGCCGGGCAAAGAGAAGCTAGATGCTGGCCGCGTTGAGCTAGGGTGAGGCAGCTCAGGGAGGGAGAGAGGAGCTCCAGAGAGGAGCCTTGACCATCAGGGAGGCCGGCGGGCATAGACAAGCTAGCCTCCTTGGCTGAGATGAGCATGGGTGAAGCCTCAGGATGGGGGAGAGGAGCTCCAGAGAGGAGCCTTGTCCATCTGGGAGGCCGCTGTGCTCAGACAGCCTAAGCTTCTGGCCCGTCTGAGCTGGACACCTGGTGGGCTGTTCTTCCCCTCCAGGTGCCCACACACATCCAGCTCCTCCATGGAATGGGCAGCAAGGAGGCCTCGAGCCAGGGAGGGCACACAGGCCTGGTCTCCCAGTGCAGAGCTGGCTCCTGCAGGCTCCAGCCCGTGAGTGTCCCCAGAGTGCATGGGGCTCCCATGCAGGGAGGGCGTCTTCAGCCTGCTCCCAGGGCTGGCACAGCCTGCATGGGCCCGGGATCCAGGGGCTCTGAGGCAGGTGGGGGAGGGGCCCTGAGACCCTGCTGGCCACCCAGCTCCAGGGGCCAGAAATCAGCGCCTTTGACAGGCGGGCTGAGATTTGGGAGGCCCCCCCATCGGGATAGGTCTCCCCTGCTCTGCAAGCTCTGTGGGGCCAAGAGGCCTGGGCCACGCAGAGACTCTGAGGACTTCACAGACAGGGCTGGGGACGAGGGCTCTGGGGAGGCACCCTCTTCACAGCCTCCCTCCTCGTCCTCTTCAAAAATTGTCTCGGGCAGGACGAATCTCAGGTCCCGAAGCAGCTTTGGCCAGGGAGACGCAGGACACTGAGCAGCCTGGTCTTCCTCCTCTTCCTCCTCCTCTTCGTCGTCTTCCTGCTTCTCCAGGCCGCTGTAGTACTCCTCGTCCTCAGAGTCGGAGTCATCTTGGAAGGTCACGTTGAGTTTGGTCAGGGAAGTCCAGCGCCGGAGGGGGCCTGGCTCGTCCAGCCAGGAGCACTGTGGGCCCGAGAGGTGGGTGGCGCCCCCTGACCCTGAGGCCCCCGTGGAGGAGCCCTGGCCGCGGGGCTGGGTGCTGCTCTTGCCACGACTGCCCTTCTCCTCCTTGGTGTGTTGCTTGGAGTCGGGCTGGACGGCAGATCCGAGAGGACCGGTCCTCCCCGGGGACAGAAGCTGAAGCCCCCGCTGGCTCCTGGGGAGCTGCAGCAGCAGGGTGACAGCCTTTGCTCTCCGCAACGATGGTCTTGATGGACACTGGTGGGGGAGCGCGCTCCTGAGAGCCAGGCGGCACCTGCAGGGCCGGGCTGCCATCTTCGGTTGGCTTATCTGGAAAAAGAACAGATGGGTTTAATTTCTCCACGGCCACCATCTGGCCTGCAGGGTGCCTGCCCTGACCTGACCCTTGGGGTCCCCATTACTCGGTGTGATGCTCAGGACACCTCCAGCCTGCTGGCCGCAGAAGGAATGGTGCATGCAGCCTGGGCCATGGGAATGACAGGGACACCTCTGGTTCTCCCCTCAAAGCCCACAGACTGGACAGGCCTTGAGCCCCCCACCTCACTCTCTCATCTCTGGAGACTGCTGGCACCAACTCAGGACCCCATTACCTACCCCACCTGAAATCCTGGGCCCTAACAGTGCATTGGCTGAGTTACCCGCATCTGAGTCCCTCCTCAATTGTAGGAAGGGAACTGAGCCTAAGATGATGGGGGTGAGAGCTGGGGCTGTGGGGCAGACATGGGGTCTGGCCAGGCCCTCGGGGACAGGGAATGTGGTTTCCAAAGAGGTGGCAGGGGTTCCCTGTGTCCTCTGCCCCTGGGCCACAGTCCCTTTCCCGGTGAAACTGGGCTGTCATTGCTTCTGTCTCACGAGCACCCAGGGGAGGCAGCACCTGGAAGCACAGTGGGGACTTCCCAGTGTCTGAACAGGCTGCCCCTGGGCCCCCACTGCCAGCCTCTAGAGCTGGGACAAAGCCATCTCTGCTCTGCATGGGGACCCAGGTGCTCAGGTCCTTGTCAGCAGGGGACAAGAACGGGGACCCCTCTGCACCAGAGCCCAGAGGCCACTGCTGCTCCGGGTCCTGCTGACTTCTGTTGGCCCAAGGCTAGGACTGCAGAGCCCACACTCAGCTGAACTTGGGTTCTGCCGTGGGGGCCCCCAGCGCCTGCCTCTGCGCCCACCCTGCTCACAGGAGTGGACTCGGCCCCCACTACTGGGTTCAGGGCACGTGGGCCTTCCAGGGGTCCTCAGATGGCTGAAGGGGATCCAGTGCCGGCTGGACCACCCCGCAGGAGGATCCAGGGAAGCTGCCCGAGGCCCCGCCAGGCCATGCTGTCAGAAGCTCCTGAAAGCAGAACTGCTGAGCCCAGGGAGGACAAGGAGGACTAGGAAGAGGTGAGTCCCTGGGTGGGGCTGCCAGGGCCTGGCACTCCCACTACTGACTCCCCCAAGGGAGCATGGGACGGGGCCGTGTGCTGGACTCACCTTCGGGAGGCAGGAGGCACTGCAGCTTCCCCAGCTCACGCATGGAGGCCCGCAGCTGCCTGATGACTGCATCCTCGCTCAGTGACCAGGCCTGCTTCAGGGTCACCTGCAGGAACTCCCGGATGTGGTCCCTGGACATCTTCATCAGGCGCTCTAGACATGGGGGTGGGTGTCAGGCTAGGAGGAGCCCTAGGCATGGCGTAGCCACCATGGCTGCTCCAACCCTTGTTTCTGCTGCAACCCCTGACCCTGGCCCTGTCCCCCACTTGCTGGCCCTGAGGCTCAGCCTCAGCTTGGACCACCCTCAGCAGGACAGGGCCTGCCTGGTCTGCACAGCAGGCTCCTTCCTGTGTCTGCTGGGCCTGGGGAAGCTCAGCTCTGCTCAGAGTCACAGGCCACCAGGTCAAGAGAGCCAGGCAGTGGGGAAGGAGCGCATGCAGGAACTCCTGGATGTGGTCCCGGGGCATCTTCAACATGGGCTCTGGACATGGGGGTGGGTGTCAGGCTGGGAGGCGCCATTTTTGGGGGTTGGGGATGAAACGGGATTCGCAATGCCCCCTAAGCTGGCCAAGAACTCAGAAAACTCGTCCCTCCCCTAGGTTCTGCTCACCCGGGCCAAGCATGGGACCCCCCCAACTCCTCCATCCCCAGCACCCAGGCCTCTGTGGGCCCTGAGGACTTACTTCGGTGGACCTTGAGGACGGTGTACACCATGCCGTGAGTACGTGCGCGCCCTCAAGGATGTAAATGTCGAACATCCGAAGTGCCAGGGGGAACGGCACCTGGGGGACAGAGGCATTGGAGGACCCCACGCATCAGGGCCTTAGTAGGACCCACAGTGGGTGGGTGTGCAGTGTCATAGGGCATCCTAGCTGTGCCCTAGAAGCCCAGAGAGAAAGAGTACCAAGGCCTATCCAGGACCCTGGTGCCACGCAGGACTGCTCTGCACACTTTGGAAGCCACCCTGGAGATGCCAGACAGCCCAGGGACCTGGGGGAGGGGTCAGCCCTTGGGCTGTGCTGAAACCAGCCTGTGGCACCCAGGGTCTATGGATCTGCTGCCTCTCACTGTAGGGCTCTGGCCTTTGCCAGGCTCTCAGGATGGGTCCTGGTGGGACCTGTCCCCTCCTTGCTGTCCCTGAGGCTCAGCCTCAGCTTGGACCACCCTCAGCAGAGCAGGGCCTGCCTGGTCTGCACAGCAGGCTCCCTCCTGTGTCTGTTGGGGCTGGGGAGCTCAGAGTCAGAGACCACCAGGTCAAGAGAGCCAGGTACTGGGGCAGGAGCTTCCCTGGGCAAGGGGTCCCTGGGGCACTTACCCCATCCAGGAAGCACTGGATGTACCAGTGGGCGGTGTAGTCCTCAAGGCACACACCCTCCTTCTCCTGAGAAGAGGCAGAGGGGGCTCAGGGCCCAGGGCCCAGGGCCCAGGCCTGACTCCCTCTAATCTGAGCCCTGTGGCAGAGCCCCTGGGTGCAGGAAGCCCAGCAGCAGGTGCATCCCCCCTCCCAGCGATGCAGATTCCTGAAAGGACACAGGTCCCTCAGTCCACTCTACCCTGGGGACAGCATCTCCCTTCAATCTACACAAACTCTGGGGGAACAAGTGGTGGAAAACACACCAACACCCAAGCTGCCACAGACCCCAGTAACAAGGAAAGTCTTGGTGAGGACGTAGCCTCCCCTGGCCCAGGAAGCAGTCAGGACCCCTCTCTGTCCTCCCCTCCCTCAGCACAGAGCCCCCGAGGGGAGAAAGGCGATGTTTACTTACCAGGTGTTTCTCCAGGGAGGGGAGCACGCGACGCATGATAGCTCCCAGGTGGTGCTGGAATCGCTCCAGTTTGGGGAGTCCGGTGTGTAGAAATCTGAGTAATAGCAACCCCCCGGCCCTCACTTCAGAGTGTCTTCCCGGGAAGGCTGGAAAGTCAAAGGCTTGGGGCGGGTCTTTCTGAACATGGAGGGTCAGGGGAAGCTCTAACAGGCAGGGGAGCCTCAGGGGAAGGGGGGTACAGCTGACAGCCCAGGGCAGGCTGCCTAAGGTGACCTCTGGGCTGACTGCAGTCACACTGGGTGCCTCAGGGCCATCTGGACACTCAGGGTGAGGAGGGGTCACCCTAGAATGGATGCTCCTTCTGCAAGGGTGTGGCTCAGTGGGTGGGAGTCTGAGTAGAGATGTGAAGCAGTAAGGCCAGTAGAGACCTAAGGGTCATTTGTCAAAGACAAGGCACAGGACCTTTGTGTGATGGGAAGTGAGGGGTATGGCTTGGTATTGGGTCCCTCTGCCGGCCCTGGCTTCTAAGAAAGCATTCTGAGGGAGACCGCCCTATGCACGCAGCAGCCAGTGAGGGACAATGTCCCAGTCACTTGTCTGCATGCCCATCCCTGCACTTGCAGGACCACGCCCACCACACCCATCACCCACCATGCATCGCGTGCTGGCTGTCCCCCATGAGCTGGACTAGGGCCCAGAAAGCATCCTCTTCACTCAGCCACATCAGCAGCAGGGCTGCCACGTGGCTTAGGCCCTGGCTGTAGCCCAATTCCTGGAAGAACACAAAACACATCAGAAGGACCTCCCTGGCTGGGATGATCTCACGTGGCAAGGGTGACCTCTCCTGGGAGAGCTGAGCATTACCACCAGGCCCCACTGCTGCCCCTTGGGTGTCAGGATCTCTCAAAGTTCCTGGAGAGAATCCTGCAGGGTCTGAGCGCAGGCTGTGCAGGGTTAAGAAGAGGTATGAGCCCCACCCCAGATGTCAGGAAGGGGAAGACTGTTGTGGGAGTGCAGACTGCACACCCGTGATGGCCTCTGGAGCTCTCTGCTGCACAGGTGCCCTGCTGGGCCCCACTGCAGACGTGAGGAAGAAGCACCATAGTAAGGCCTGCCTGGGCCAGAACAGAGCCCAGCCCAGGAGAAGGCTTCCGTTCTGCCCCAGAACTTGAGGTTGGGGCCAAGGAGGCCATGAGCTTGAACTCTACCCCTCAGTCTCTGCCTTGTGGATTAGAGAGGCCCCCTCAACCCAGGCTAGGATTTCTGTGACCAGGGGCACCCTGCATGGACAGCTCTGGATATGACCTTGGAACGTTATCGCAGAATACTCACGGGGTTTGTACATTGAGTATGCGAGGAGCACCTCAAATAAGGAGCGTTGTCTGGAAGAGAGAGGACAGAGGCTGTGCGTCCAGTGCTGCCGAGGCTCTCAGTGTGGCTCTGCCTAACAGAGCCTGACAGCCACACGCAGGGCCCCTTGATACTCTGCTCATGAGCAGTCCAACCGTGTTGGATGAGTGCTGCCTGCAGGGACATGCACATCTCCCAGGGTGCAGTCATGTGCAGTTTCGTTTCCCCAGGTGGGTGTTCATTGCAGAGGTGAGCGTCCCACTGTGGGAAGTGCAGTCCCGTGGGTCTAAGCCATGGAGAGTCAGCCTCCCATGCACGTTCATTCTGATAGGGAGCACTCCTGTGGCCTATCTGTTTCCCCATGAGCCTCTGTGGCCAAACCTCCCCACCTCCCCCAGCCCGTGGACCACCACTGCCCTGTTGTGTGTCCGGAGTTTGGCCTCTTGCAGACTGTCCTGTGAGTGGATCATAGCACGTGTAGCCTTTGAGGGATGCTTCCTCTCATTAGCAGGATGCACCTGAGATGCATCCAGGTGAGCCCAGGGCCGAGCCTCGTCCTGCCTCTCACTGAATCCCTGTTCTCCGGATTCAGCTGTGACACGGGTTGCTTATCCGTTTCCCCACTGAGCATCGTGCAGGGTAGTCCTGCGTCCAGTGACTGTGAACACAACCCTGAATCTTGCGTGAGGGTTTATGCACTCAGCTGTTCTGGTGGTTGTGTAAATGTGCGTGTGTGCTGGGGGTTCAGTGTGGAAGGTGTGTGTCTCTCATTGTGAGAAATGGCCCTGGGTGCTGCTGGGGGCCTGGGCACTGTGCTCTGTTCCTGCAACGAACCGGAATTGCGCTCACCTCACGTTTTCCCCAGCACCCGGCGTTCAGTGGTCTTAGTTCCCCCATTCTCACAGCTGTGCGCTGGTGCCCCCGTTGTGGTTTAGGTGCTAAGCATGTTTTCACGCGTTGAGTAGGAGAGTTGTGTGTGCCATCATGCAGGGGCCCTCCTGAGCCTTGGCCCATGTCAGGGCAGGGAACCCTCATTTGCTTTGTTGTATATTGAGATTTACAAACTTCATTTTCTGTATTTTGCAAATACTGTCTCCCCTTGTGTTCCTTTCATTTCATTCCCACCAAAGTGTCCTTTGGGAAAGCAAACTGTTCAGTATAAATAGAAGGCCATGGATCCATTTTTTTCTGTCCTAACAGGAATTATGCTTTAGGTGTGAGCCACGTCTCTCCTAGGACCCCATGTGTCCCAGGACCCTTGCACCTCCCTCCCCCAGGGCCCCTCCAGCCCAGAGGCCTCACTTGGCTCCGTATCGCTCTCGAAACATGATGTGACTTCTGAACGTGCATGCTACATCTTCATCGATCTGTTGGACTTGATCTGAGCACAACCTGGCCCGTTCCTTCATCTCCTGCAGGGCAGGGCCGAGGGGGAGGGGCCAGCCTCAGGACGAGCCAACCCCCACTGTCACACAAGCACCCCAAAGCCACATCAGCTCTTCTGGTTGGCAGGGAGAGTTCCCCTTGAGGGAAGCTCATTCCCCTGATCCAGGAGGGTCATGGGTTCCCCACTCACCTTAGTGTCCACGCCACCCCCAGTGCCCAGCAGAGGGGCCACTGCGGACCCGCTACAGTCAGCCTGAGGCCAGGGGCTCTGCCAATGTCCTTCTGTGCTACCTCTGCCTTCCCAGAGCAGGAGAGACTGAATCAGGCCTCCGAGCCTCCTCACTGGGCTCTCAGGCCCCACAGGACAGGAGTCAGCCTCACCCTGACCAGCCTTCAGGGCTGCCCCCTGCAGGAGAGCCCCAGCTCCATCAAGAGAGTGGACACCCTTCTTGGACTTGGAGCTGGCCCCAGGGGCAGCCCCCACTTGAAGACTTGGGCGAGGGCGGGGCTGGCGGCTCAGTTGCTCCTTGCTCCCTGATGTCAGCCAGGGAGGTGACAGCCCGGGCCAGCCCTCTGATGGATCAGCCCTCATTCCCAGAAGCAGTTGAGAGCTGACTCTGACGATGGAACCAGCAGGCCAGGTGGGGGCTGGGTGAGCTGAGGCCAGGCCAGGCATGAGAAGGCCCAGGTGAGGGCAGGGCCCGGCGAGCATAACAAACACAAGCAGGGTCAGGTGTGGGGAGGGCCGTTAGGGACAGAGCCAGCTGAGGGCCCTAGCACACAGGACTTCCACCTCATTCCAGGCCGTCTCTATCCATTCAGGACCCAGCACAATGGCACTGGGCAGTCCTGGGCCTAGAGGCAAGGCAGGACCACAGGGATGAGGGCTGTGGCCCTGACCGGATCCTTGTGTCCAGGCCCATTTGTGTGTGGGGAGACATGGAGGAGGCTTCTGGGGAGACGTGGATGAGGCAGAGGGGAGGGCCGGGTGGGGGCCCCAACCAAATGACCACTCCTCCTTGGCATTACTTGTCCACCACACGGGAGCCTTGCGCTCCTGAGCAGGCCCGAGCGGGTCGGCCTGCCTCAGATTGCACGCAGAGCCATACCTCGAATTTGCCAGGGTTCTGGGCCTTCCTGGTATCCACGGAGAGCATCATGGCCCACACCTTGCCACGCACCTGGGCAGGGATGCCTTTCTCAATTCTCCGGTGGAACTACAGGAGAGAGGAGGCTCTGGTGAGACCCGCCCCAGGCCCTCTGTTGGGGGGGAGCGTAGGGTGAGACAGCAGGAAGGGGAGCCCTGGGCTCTGTGCTGTGTCCCAGATCTGCCTGGACCTGGGCCTCCTGACCCAACAGTGAGAGGAGGGCCGAGGGCTCAGTGCAGGCTCTGTGGTGCACTCACTGCCCACACAGGGCACCAGGAACTGTGCCTGCCCTGCATCTGGGAGTGGCCCCAGGGGACTGGATCTTCTACTGCGACAGTGTCCTGGGTGCAAGGGCATTGGGCTGAGATGACCTGTGTCCTTTCAGGGCAGGACAGTTGTGTCTGAGAGGCACAGCGATGGGCACTGTCCATCCCAACTCCACCCCCAGTGGTCCCCAGGGGCCCTCAGGTCCAGGTACCTTCTCACTGCTGCGGTACTTGGTGAAATTTCGCAGCATCTTGTTCCATTTTTGCAGTCGGCGGCCCTCTGATGTTTACGCTGGGAATGGAGACAGGATGGTGTGAGCTCAGCAGTGTCCTCTGAGGAGGAGGCCACGGGTGCAGCTCAGGAGCTGTGGACAACTCAGCTGGGAGGAGCCAGCAAAGGGGCAGACCACAGCACCCAGACCTTCCAACTAGGGGAGCCTCAGGGGCTTGAGTATAAATAAAAGGACAAGCATCCTCAAGCTAGTCCCATGTCATCCAGGAAAGTGGTCACAGTGGCCCACAGGCAGGGACCCAGAGCTGCAGGCCTGCACTGGGGTATGTGGGCCTCAACAGATCTCCTGGGGACTGCTGTCCCTGGAGGACCATATGGCACTCCTCTAACCACTGCCCATACCCACAGGCCTGCTAGTTCTGCCTCCTAGATGAAGAGTCCATGGCCAAGGTCAGCTTACCCATTGCACTGCCAGGCATCCATGCCTGGGCGGCTTCTGCTTACTGAAAAGCAAGAGTGACAACACCATGAGAATGGGCACTGAACCAAGCATGGTCCACTTCCCCAGCAAGGCTGGTAGAAGACCTGTGTCCTCCTCACCCTGCTGAGGCACAGCCCAGTGCACAGAGAAGGGCAGGGATGGGGCAGCCATGCTGCAGGCAGACACCCAGCAGGGGCTGGGGCTTGAGGCACCTGGGACCACCACACCCCCAAGGTTATCCCCCACCCACCTTCCCCACTATGCACTGGCCACCTGAGGTGCCTGCTCCCCACCTCACCCTCCTCTGTTAGCCCAGACCGTGGCCATCTCTCTACCCTTGGCTCCTGCTTTTTCTCCAGGTTCTGGGCACAACATGGAGCCAGAACCCCCTATCCCTGCTAAGGTGGGCTGCTCAGTCATGCCAAAGACGGCCCGAGATGGCTCATCCCTCTAGATCACCGGAGCCTACCCTCCAGACATGGGGCTGCTCTCCCTGACATCTGTTGGAACAGCCTCCAATCTGACTCCTGCCCGCAGGCCCCACTCCTCCCAGCACAGACCCGGGGCTGGGCCCTCAGCTGCACCTCCCTGTGGTCTGTACTGTGGGAGCCTGCAGGCAGGCTGAGAGCTGCAGAGGCCACACGCTGGCCATCTCTCAGACTAGGTCTTAATAAGCCTTTAGCCTAGCCCTGAGGCTGAGGCCCCTGTTGGACAACTGCCCCTGCTAGGCTGGTGCCCCAACCCTGTGGACACAGCTATGGGGTGGCGATGGCCAGGCTGTGTCCCTTGGGAGCAGGGCAGGACCCTCAAGCCACCACCTCTACTTAACATGAACAGATGCCTCAGAGTAAGAGTGCCAGTGTCTACCCTACAGCCAGCCCTTTCCCATCCTGCATTCTTGAGTCACAGGGTCACTCGGCTCTGCCCGTATACTGACCTGTGCCTGCACTGTGACAACAGCTTGGATCAAGGAGGGGGCCTGGGGACAGGTGTGCTACCTAATGGCGGGGTTTATGACCCTGGTCCCTCCCCTGGGTGGATCGGGGTGCAGAGGACTCACCACAGGAAGCCAAGTTTGTCTGGGACGAGGGCTCCACTCTCGTCGTCCTCTTCTCCCAGGTGAAACTGGGGCCATTTACGGGGACCCTGCAGGGGAGAGGGGACCCAGGTGAGAATCCCGGGTCTCAGCCACTGGGGGAGCTGAGCCACCCTCCTGCTGTGTCCCCAGGAGGTGGGGTCTGGCTCTCACAAGCACAGTACTTGAGGCAGGGTCCTACCTCCTCCCCCAGCACCCTGGCCCGTACCTGCTCATATTTCAATGATTGCTGCTCGCTCCTGGGCCCTGCCGGACCTCAGGGCGTCCATATCCAATCTGTAAGACACACACGCACTTGTGAGCCAGTACAGGGGAGCCCACGGGAACTGTTGCCCCGAGGTCTGTCCCCGGTCAGAGGGGGACAGCCACAAAGCCAGGTGGGCGGGCACCTGGTGGTCGGGTCCCAGGAGGATGACTTGTTCAGAGCACAGGGACTAGGGATGGTTGGGGAAGGACAGCCCCCACCTTGCCTCCCCTGCCCTCAGAAAGGATGCTCCTCCCCCAGCCTGGCATCCACGTGTCCTCCAGGGAGCCCAAGTCTCCCTGGCCCGCTCCCAGCCCCCGAATCTCTGGAGCTCTCAGAGGTGGACTCACTGCCCCACCTGACACCAGCTGATCCAACACCTAGTCTTGAACCCGTGTCCAGACACAGACTCACACCAAGGCCCATTCGACACTGATGCCCAGCAGAGTGGGAGGAATGAGACGACTATATACACACTCTGCACACAGGGGCCGCTGAGAGCTCAGCCACAACACTCATGGAACCTGGCGTGGGAGACCAGTGCCACCCACCTGGCGACCTTCCCTGCGTCACAGGTCACGCAGAGAGCAAGTCTCACTCACCTCCTTCGAGTATCCATTAGATTCTATGAAATGTGCTTCCTGCCTACGCTACCAACATCTGGTCAGTTGGGCAGTAGATGCACGACTGGCCACTGGTTGCCGACAACCAAGAGTGCACAATTCTCAGTGACTGTGATGTCACAGAATCCTGCCAGCCAATCCCAAGTGGCTCTGCTGTGGCAGGGGTCAGGGTTCTCAGCCCTGGCTTAATTAAAGGTCACCAGAAGTGGGGCCTGTGTTCTCCCCAGGGCCCAGGTGAAGAGGGCAGGGCTCTGGCAGAACTGCCCCAGAACCAGGGGTGCCAGGGCCCTCTGCCACCTGCCATAACGGTCCCAAGTCCCAGGCAACCTGCACCTCCTGCCCCTCATTTCTTCCTCTGCCATTTTATTACAGCCCAACTGTGAAGTCCTCTTTATTTGAACACAAGGTGGAACAGGGTGCCCCATCATGGCCAGTCCTTCTTCCTGAGGTTCCCACACTCGGGGCTGCCCCTGAATGACCTGAACGGAGACTCCCAGGGTTGCAGCCTGCTGTCCTACCACAGGCCTGACCCCAGCACTCCCAACCCCTGCTGACCCCTCCTGCTCTGTTCCAGCCCCTCTTCCCAGGAGTTTAGGAGGTGGACACAGGGGGTCCTCCTGGGATGGAGGGCAGGGGAGCAGCCCGCCGAGCACCACCTGCATAGGACCTCAAGCTGGCGTGGCCCAGACTGTCCAGAGCGGGAACCAGGGCCCTGTCCTGACACTGACCATGGCTTCAGGCACAGAGTGCTGAGAACTCCTGGGCACCAGCTCCTGAGCCGCATGCTGGTAACACCGGGCTGCTGCTGACCATAAGGACAGGGACAGCACATGTCGGGCAGGAGCAGCCACAGGCCCGCAGCTCCCCAGGGTGCTGATCACCAGGTTGCTCCCTGCAGGGAAAGCGACTCAGCCCTCCCCCAGCACCTCCTTGGTCCTGGGCCCCACACTGCCCCTAGGCTGCCACCTTGGGGCCACAGTCGGTTCTTTTCCCTCAAGGGCCTGTTGTTCTGCCTCTCTGCCCACTTCCCTTGCCCTGGCATGGGGACCACAGTGTCCAGGGCCCTGGTCACCAATACACCTGCTGGCCTCCTCTGCGGGTGGGAACGAGTACACAGCTGTGTCATGTGCAGAGATGCTGTCCAGCAAGACTTGGGTTTTAACTGATTCTGTTATTCCCCTCCCCACTCAGCTTCTCCTCTTTTAAATATCATTGTACATTCTTTTGGAGATTCACAAAGTGCTGTAAAATAACACAATGAATGATGATTAGGGATCACCCAGCTTCAGCAGTCAAATATTCTAATTTATGGAAGATGCCTATGGGTTTCCTTTCTCTGCCTGGGTTCATTCTCCAGATTCCCTAGGGTTAGTGGTCTCCAGATTGCATTTTTCTCCACTCGGGGTGATGTTTTGCTCTCGAGTCAGACTCAGGAGCCGAGGCTGGGGATGGATCCCGGGTGGTACAGTATGGGATGAAGGTGTCCCAGTGGTATCTTCCCCACTATGCCTGCCCTGGGGTTGCTATCAGGGACAGGTCTGGTCCTCCTCCAGCCCCATCTCACTTGGGCTCCTGCTGGGTAATGCCGTCTGCCATGAGGCCCTCACCAGAAGCTGGTGCCCGTGCCACACTCTCGGGCTGGTCAAGCCACAAGCTAAAGTGAACTTTCATTTTCTAAGCAACGCAGCTTCAGGTATTTTGCTATTGCCACACAGAGTGGGCCAGGACTTCCCTCCAACTTCAGCAAAGTGCCCTCCAATGTGCTTGAAGGGTTTCTGAGAAAGCCTCTTCCCAGAGTATCAGGTGCTCCTCATTCCGGATTTCAGCAGAGGTCTCCTGAAAGCCCACTCTGGCTTCCTGTGCCACCTAAACACCCAGGCACTGAGTTCTCTTTTAGGGGTGCTGGGAGTAAAGGCAGAGGCCAGCTCAGCAGCACTGCTCAGGGCATCTGGGAGTCCGGCAGGACTTTGAGTCCCTCCAGTCAACCTCAAGAGAGGGCACGGGACTCATTTGTGTCCTGAGAGACAGGAGATTGGCAGGTGCAGGGAAACACTGAGTCTGCGAATTAGCCGCCACTTCTTACAGGGCGCTCTGGAGCCGCTCCTGCGTTTCAAGTGAGCCATGGGCCCGCGTGCACGGCTGAGAGCTGTAGCTACTTGGCCGCAGAGATCACCTCTGACAGTGGTGCTTAGGGAGTGCAAGGTGAGCCTGCGTGCTAGGGCCCTTCCCACCCACAGCACGTGACCTCAGCACACAGACCAGACCCCTCCAGCGTGCTGCTCCAGCCCTTCCTTGAGAATTGCTCTGAGTCCCAGGGCCAAGGGCTCTGCTCCCGTGGTGTTCACACACAGGCACAGCCACATCGCCCATGGGACCCAGTGTGGGAGACCAGTGTCACCCACCTGGGCAGGACCTTCCCCAAGAGCAAATCCCACTCACCTCCATCGTGAATCCATTGGATTCTGCCAAATGTGCCTCCTGCCTATGCTACCAACACCTGGTCAGTTGGGCAGTAGAGCACTACTGGCCACTTGTCACCTCACAGCCCAGAGTGTGCATCCTCAGTGACTGTGATGTCACAGAAGCCTGCCAGCCAACCCCAAGTGGCTCTGCTGTGGCAGGGGGTCAGGGTCCTCAGTCCTGGCTTTATCAAAAGTCACCACAAGTGGGGCCTGTGTTTTCCCCAGGGCCCAAGCGAAGAGGGCAGGGCTCTGGCAAGGGTGCCATGGAACCAGTGGTGCAATCCAGAGCACCTGCCCCTTTGTGTCAGGCTCCCTCTGGGTTCCTGTGGGGCTGTTTGGTGGGACAACTTAAGGGTTGAACTCTGCAGTCCTGATTTTTTTCATTTTTTCCTGAAGTGGCCAGGGCCCCATAGTAAAGGAGAAGTTCCAGTAGGGAAATCATCTAGAAACTTGGAATGCACAGAGGGAAGATAATACAAATCTCTCAGTGCCAAGTATGTGATGCCATGTATGTGATATAAATTTATAAGGTATTATTGCACATTTCAGAAATATATCACCACACTGTATATTCTAAATGTCTCCTACTGTTCTCGGCTTTCTGATTTCTCAAATACGTCTTCTGTGCTGTCAAATTATTTTAAAAGTAAGTATCTTTTTAATGGCCCAAAGTGGGTCACCTCGACAGAACAGGAGAAAAATCACAATTTCTCCTGGTGCTAAGTGCTTTGTACATGCAGAGGTGGCCAGAGAGAGGGAAAAAGGAGACTGCTCTTTTCCAGGTTGTGATGTAGGAGGGGTGAGGTTGACAAGGTGCATGGGCCCAGATGCTACCTGCAAATCTGGCTCCATGGTACCTTCAGGAGGGAAGAGAAAGGGGTGTGGTCTCTGCTGTCGTGGGGTGGGAGGACAGAGGGAAGGGTACCGCGTGTAGCATGGACCCTGTCTGGGCTATCCTATTTACTCCTCCTCGGGTCCCTGGGGGTGGCATTTTATCTTGATCTGCCGACCAAGAATCAGGCCCAGGGCCAGGTAATGCACTGAGGGTCATTGCTTGGGCCTGGAGCCCAGGTGTCTGGGGCTCCACACCCAGCACTGCCAGCAGGGGATGCGAGGTGGCCCTGTGTGTTTGCCCAGGGTGTGCCTGTGGGAGGCTGTTCTGAGTGTCCCTTTGGAGATAGTGGCCCTGTGACCTGAGCTCCTGCCCTAGCCAGCTGTTTGTCATCAGCACCTACCCTGGCAGGAGCTCAGCCTGCAGTCTTTCCTAAACATTTGCTTGAGGGGAGAGATGCCAGGGCCCATGCTGTGTCTTTCTTTCGCCAGCTCCCTTCTCTGCCCTTGTACACACAGCTGTCTATCAGAAGGGTGTTGAGTCAAGGCCAAGACCAAGGCTGTATTGCCCTGTTCACCTGTCAATCAGGGGTCCTCTCCCCAGGAAGTACTGCCTCTTATCCAGGACATTGGGGTGGTACCATGTAAACACTTCCGTTTTTTCGAAAGCTCATAAAAAGTGAGGAAGGACGGAAGCGCTCTCTCCTCATAGACTCAGGACAAGCAGAGCAGGGTATGATGATTCCCTTCCCTTAGCCCTTTCTCCATTAATAAAGCCCTAATGGGCCTGTGTATTTTTCTCACTTTGTAACTAAAGTTTACCACACTGCAGGCTGTGTTTGGGCCTGTATTTAGAATTCTTCTCTAAGTTAAAGGCAAGAGTCTGGAAAATTAATTTAGGCCGAGACCCAGCCCATAACATTCCCAGTCCCAGACTGACCCACTCAGGGGTC